ATAAAGTTATATTGTGTAGGGAAACGAATGTAATATCGTGGGATGTATTTTTCACTGTATAATTGACATTGAGAAGAAAATGTAATTCATCTTCAATATCCCCCTTACAAAAGCAAATTCTATCCTCGAAGTTAATATTTAACTTTCTACCTTCCTCAATTTTTAAGTTGTGGCTAGAAATGCGGAACGAAGTAAAGATCTTTTTGAAATATGGATTTAAATTGGAGGAAAGGTAGTTTTCAAAAGCAATATAATATTTGAATAAACAGTAACTTTTTAGCCTATTTGACTTGTTAACTTGTGACTCTCATTCTTGTTGGTCAATATCTAAAGAACGTTGTTTAACAAGACTTAAAAAGCAAACATCATCACCAACACCACCTTGGTTAGCTTCCCCGAACCAATAATGGAATTGAAGTGAACGGACTGGTTAGCCCAACAGTTTTTATCATTCAAATCGCAATTGTTCTAGGCGTTATGAATTAGTCTATTTCTAGAATACGTACCGTAACCAATACTTAACAAGTTTATGTATTCTATTGGCTCGTACACTATATCTCCCTAACTCGCCTCTTACAGCCAAATTATTATTTTTCTGATTTAATATGAATTTACAAAATTTATTTTGAACATATTCCAAGTCAGCTCCTTTAATATATCCCCACACCTCACAACAATAATTAAGTATAGGCATTACTTTTACATCAAATACCTTTAAACAAATGTCAATACGGTACCTAATTCAGGCAAGGATTTTAACTAGACATGATAGAAAAAGTTGCTTTGGTTAGCTTGCTCAGCAAGAACGGATTGGGTTTTTGACCATATTCCTCTGCAGGAGAGTGTAATTCCTAAACATTTAAAATATGGAACAACTTCAATTTGGATATTGTTGTACCACCACTTTTTGTAATTTCTTAAAATACCACCATTTCTAAATACCACTATTTTAGTTTTCTTCTGGTTTACTTTAACATCACATTTGTTGCAATATTTTTCTAGTTCATTAATTAGTTTTTGTAACTGGTGTTTGAAAAGGTTTACCAACCCAAGTGAACAGCTATCAAATGTATAGTTTTTAGAAATCTCGAAGTGTAGGTCATTGATAAAATATGCGAAAAAGAAAGGGAATAGAATACACCCCTGCCTAAGACCAACTTGGCAAGTAAAGAGGCTCGTTATACCATTTGGCGTTGAAATACCACTTTTGACATTATCATAGTATGAATATAGAATGTTGTAAGTTTTTCCATGTAAGCCTTCTTGTCTTAATTTGGAAAAAAGCAGAGATCTGTTTATGCGGTTGAACGCCTTTTCGAAATCTATAAATGCGCAATAGAAGCGGCCCCTGCTTTTACGAAGATATTTCCTTATTAATGTATGTAAAATAAAAATATTGTCGGAGGTGGAGTATCCTTTCCGAAATCCAGCTTGTTCTTCTCTAAGTGTTTGGTGTATACCGTACCCTCCCATTTCGTAAGCCTCTTGTGTAAAATTTTACAAAATATCTTACTAGTTGTTACAAGGAGAGACACGCTACGGTAATTTTGGGGCATAGGCTTATTTCGGTCTCCTTTCTTAAAAATAGGGATTATAACTGCTTTGGACCAAGAGGATGGGATTTTGCCAGAATCTAGTATAATACTAAAAATGGCTGTTAAAATCAAGATAAATTCATATCCGCATCTTTTGAAGAAAGCAGGGGGAATTACCCTTTAAACTATTGATACTTTCTTTGACTTCATCCGCAGTGATAGGACCATTCAGTATCTCAGCAGTTTCATCTTCAATAATCTCGTTAATATGTTCATTCAATATATCAACACCATTAGCGTTCTGGATGATAGTGGCTTCGCCGCTTTTGTTGGGATTGAAAAGTTTTCGGAAATAGTCCGACCACTCATCAGCCGTAATGGTATTCTAATTATGATTTCTCTTTTTAAAAGTGGCCCAGAAGCGCTTACCATTGTCTTCTGTCAGAGATCGAACAATCTTTTCTGAAATGGCTTTATTGTATAAATATTTTTTCTGTTTAATATACTTTATACGGTATATGATTTTTTTCTTATCCTTAAAAGCAGTCAGATTCTCGTGTGATCTATTAAATCGAACTCTCTGTTTAGGGCTTTGTATACCTCTTGACTCTCATGCTTACATTCCCTAGCAAACCAAGAATGGTTTTCACGATTACTATTATTGTTGTGTTTCTTAATTTTAGCAAAATGCAAAAAGAGTGAATTAAAACTATGTTCCAAAGCTTCAATGTCGGTCCCCTCATTAATCAGGGCCTCTAAGTTTATCGAGGTATTCTCAATATAGCTATTTGTCTCTTCCGACGGGTTAAGAAAACTCTCATAGTCAAAGTGGTATCTAGGATATGGGTAAGTATCGCCTGCCCTTTCAACTTCAGCTTTATCTACTTTGTTGGAATTAAGATTTAAATTAAACACCAAAGGAAAATGATCAGATTCCAATCGTAATGTTATCGTTATGTTATGTTATGGGTAATGTTATCAAATAGAACGGTTGATGAGATTACATCAATTAATTTTCTGCCATACTCGTTAATTTCGCCATCCATATTAGCCCTATCTAAAATAATTATTGAAGGAATATAGTCGGTATCATCAATCGGCAAATAATCAGTACTCTCCAGAAGTGTTTAATATTTCTCACGACGGCTTAAGACTGTCCCCGACGATAAATCGTGTCGGGCTGCGTCGGCCGACGCTGTCTGAGTTGGCCTTAATAGTCAAAGTGGTATCTAGGATATGGGTAAGTATCGCCTGCCCTTTCAGCTTCAGCTTTATCTACTTTGTTGGAATTAAGATTTAAATTAAGGAAAATGATCAGATTCCAATCGTAATGTTATCGTTATGTTATGTTATGGGTAATGTTATCAAATAGAACGGTTGATGAGATTACATCAATTAATTTTCTGCCATACTCGTTAATTTCGCCATCCATATTAGCCCTATCTAAAATAATTATTGAAGGAATATAGTCGGTATCATCAATCGGCAAATAATCAGTACTCTCCAGAAGGACTGAATCCGAAAGAGACCCAGTCCTAGCATTTAAGTCACCAAAAATTAGGAAATTGCAGTTGTGATAATAAGACCTGAAATTGTAAAATGTACAATGTAAAAACCAAGTCATCATAGATATTTTCATCACTTGAAGAGCTTGGTGTTACAGTATATAAATTAACCCTATTATTATTAATAGGATTACGCTCTAACGAAACCCCGACAGTCGAACCTCTGGCAGTTTGATGATAGGGATAAATAATATCGAAAAAGATCCACTGATTAATCTCGGATAAGAAAGTATTGAAATGTTGGGATTCAATATTAGGACATTAATTATGTCATACTTATAATATTATATTAGGAGATATTTTAATTCTGAAAATCATTTTTTCAAGTGTTTGCCTTGTGGGCTAAAGCTGCTATACGTACCGATACGACATGCATTAACCATTTTTTTAGTCTATCTGTTATCTTCATTAAGTACAAACCATGTTCGTAAACGTAAATATAAATTTAAAGATAATTTATTTTCAAATTATTTTATAGTGCATACTTTCACATTGACATTTAGAAATATTTTCTTCAATAAATAATTTTCTGTCTGTTATTGATACCCCATTTAATTGTTCTAAAGAGATCTTAGAATGTGTACGAACAGACTGTAAGACTGCATGGATTCTTACTATACATCAGTTATATAATTTGCTATATAATCATAACATTTATTTACTTTAAGGATCTGAACTGCACATATTTTTATTTCGTTAACTGTTGATATAATATTTATATATATATATATATATGTATGTATATATATACGGTNNTATATATATATATATATATATATATATAGAGAGAGAGAGAGAGAGAGAGAGAGAGAGAGAGAGAGAGAGAGAGATAGATAGAGAGATAGATAGATAGTAGTCATAGATGTGTTGCACATATATTCACCGTTTCATAAACCGTGTGTGTCCGAGACAATCAAAGAATGGGTCGACGTGTTCAGAACATAAATATAATTTTCAGGAGAATAATATCTGTAGATATTGTTATTCTCCTGAAGACGATTGAAGCAACTCAATCGAAACTTTCTCAACTACAACAGTTCTTTTCAGAACTCCCTACGTGGTGTACCGCAAGCTTCAACATATATGCTATTACTTCGTCATGCAAACTTTCAAACAATACGATACCTTGTATATATGTATAAAAGTTTAAAAATAATATATATATATATATATTATAATATATATATATATATATATATATAGTGTGAT